GGGATGGCAGCCATCATCAGTGAAAGTTAGCTGTAGGGATGGCAGCCATCATCAGTGAAAGTTAGCTGTAGGGATGGCAGCCATCATCAGTGAAAGTTAGCTGTAGGGATGGCAGCCATCATTAGTGGAAGTTAGCTGTAGGGATGGCAGCCATCATCAGTGAAAGTTAGCTGTAGGGATGGCAGCCATCATCAGTGAAAGTTAGCTGGATGGATGGCAGCCATCATTAGTGGAAGTTAGCTGTACGGATGGCAGCCATCATCAGTGGAAGTTAGCTGTACGGATGGCAGCCATCATCAGTGGAAGTTAGCTGTAGGGATGGCAGCCATCATCAGTGGAAGTTAGCTGTAGGGATGGCAGCCATCATCAGGAAGTTAGCTGTAGGGATGGTGGCCATCATCAGTGGAAGTTAGCTGTAGTGGTGGCGGCCATCGTTAGTGGAAGTTAGCTGTAGGAATGGCAGCCATTGTCAGTGGAAGGTAGCTGCAGGGATGGCAGCCATCATCAGTGAAAGCTAGCTGTAGGGATGGTGGCCATCATCAGTGGAAGTTAGCTGTAGGGATGGCGGCCATCATCAGTGGAAGTTAGCTGTAGGGATGGTGGCCATCATCAGTGGAAGTTAGCTGTAGGGATGGCGGCCATCATCAGTGGAAGTTAGCTGTAGGGATGGTGGCCATCATCAGTGGAAGTTAGCTGTAGGGATGGTGGCCATCATCAGTGGAAGTTAGCTGCAGGGATGGCGGCCATCATCAGTGGGAGTTAGCTGTAGGGATGGCGGCCATCATCAGTGGAAGTTAGCTGTAGGTATGGCGGCCATCAGTAGAAGTTGTCTGTAGGGATGTCGGCCATCATCAGTAGAAGTTATCCGAGGGAATTTCAGTCATCGTTAGTGGATGTTTCGACTTCCTATTGATTCATTTTTGCACATTTGGGGGTGAAGTAGGGAATCCTTTGCTGCTTATAAAGGGTTAAAAGATAAACTGGAAACTCGGTCTTTGTGGTAATCTTATATGGCTGATAGCAGTGTGAAGGTGGGGGTGTAAGTTTGGGACATTGCTGTGTGAATATTGTCAGAGAAGAACGGTGCTGCTTACAGTATTGCTTCCATAGGCAACTGAGCTTGCTTAGACTAATACTAGATTTATTTTCAGAAGCCGTAGACATATTGCATTTGTAATACTTTTTTATTGCTTTCTTCCTGTTAAATAACTACTTTTTTAACACTGGGGATTTAAATTTATAGCAAGACTTTTATTAGAGTAGTACATTAGTGGTAACTTGAAAGGATATTGTAGTTGTTTTGAAAATAAATTCCTCATTTTGGATCAGTGGAAGGAATTACAAGTGCTTAAACAAAATCAACTCTGAACTTAACATTCATTACTTTAAATGTGTTATGTACTGTTATTGTCCCAAAGTAAAATGTTTTCCCTTTTTCACTTTAATCCAAATTAAATGTGATGATGCAGCAGTTAGAAGAAAACAGTGAGAGTGAAGGGATCCAGTCTGCATCAGATGAAGGTGGTAGCCATCCATCTTCCTCGTCCTCCTCTATTGTTATTGTTGAAAAAGAGGACATGGAGGAAGATGAAGGAAATGAAGATGGTGGTGTAGTGGCCCAGGAAAAAGATGTATCTGGAAATGAAGGTGTGGAAGATGATGATCCTTCAGGGAACAAGCATGCATCAGAGACAAAAAGCGAGTCATTTCTTTCTCATGCTACAAGCTCACCACAACTCTTAGGAGAGCAGGAGTTGTTGGTAGAAGAAAAGGTAGCTGCTGATGAAACTGCAGGCAAAGCAGTAGATTCAAAGGGGTTGGGAGAGGGTTTGAAAGATCATAGCAATATATTGGCTCCAACAGTTGATACTGAGATAAAGCAGCAGCAACTTGAAGAAGATAAGATGGAAACTGGTTGCAACACAAGTTTATCTCCATCTGCAACTCAGTCACAGTATCCCTCATCATTGTCTGGTAATCTGGAAAATTTGTCTGGTTCAACTGGAAACCTAAAGAGTGAAACCCAGGAAAGAATATCTATCTCACCATCAGTCTCTGCCACAGATGACTTAACAAAGGTGGAGCTGAAGGGCACCACAGATGTTGAGACAGATGCATCAGTATTATCCACCAATGCTGGGTCTCCGAATTTGGAGAGCAGAGCACAACAGTCCATGAGCCATGAGGTAAATCAGAGGGTTTCACTTTGTCACGTGAAGTTATCACATCTCCACTTAGGAATTTTGAAGTACAGTACTGTAGCATTAAGCGATACTCCTAGTGATTCCGATAAGTCCAGCAAGACGGGACTCCTTGTCAAGTTTTTAAGGATTTTCTCAATGTAGAGTAAATTTAGCTTTAATTTGATTTGTGCATGGAGAAGGGTATACCATAGTAACAATTTTGATGTATCAGTAGGTACATGAAAATTTGTTTTAAATTCAATGCATTATTAAGAAATGATTATTCATATTTATATCCTAATATAATTTTTAGGTGATTTATGTATTGTGCCCCAGTGTGCCATGGTTTATAACATGGGGAAGCTCCTGAGTCCTGACATAGAAGACTGTTATTTACTGAATAATTATTTGCCTATTTAAAAAAAAAGTGAAGTCAGAAATGTAGACAATATGGCTGAAAGTCTGAATGAGTCTTTGCCCCACAGTAGCATGCATAAATTTGCTTCCATTGTCACCATTGCCCCTCTTTGATTTCCTGTGATAAATGTCTGTCTAATTGTCGCCCATATTGGTGAGGTTGTTGACCAGTCAGGTCGGTGCATTCATCTCCTATTACCAGTAGAGGGTCTAAGGTAGTATCACACATTATGAGCATTGTAAGAGTATTACTGTACATCCTTTATTTCAAGTTTGCAAGAGTATTAAACATGCTAAGAATCCAATCGTCTGTTCTCCCAACAGTCATTTGGTGGCACTGGTTTTCCCCATGCCGTGTCAAGGGAGGACCTGATATCATTGTGTGAGTAGCTATTAATCCTTGAAATATAGTTTATAATCTTATGGGTACGGTATGTGGCTCCATTGGGTGGAAAGGTTTTATTTTAATGATAAAACCTGGGTTTCAGGAGCCCTGTTTCAGATGTTGGTTTGGGGACCAACTGGGTTTCCCTTTGCAGGATCATGTGACCGGATGTAATAATTGCCATTAGTGGATATTTTAAGGCAGTGGGTTAGGCTGGGAGAGGCAAATTACCGGAAACTTAAGAAGTTCAATGGTGACAATAGGTGTTAATGTCACCAAGACTTTTTAAAACTCAACTTTCAATAACACAATTGATGTTTAAATTTTTCTCTTTTAAGACAATGTTTGTAATGGAACAGTATTGTTGCTACCCTGTACTATAATTGATACCAGTCAATGATGATGGGAGTTTGCTCAGGCTGTAACCTTGTCAACTATAGTGCATTTTTTCCCAGCTGAGAAAAGATGCCCTGCCCCTTCCTCAAGAGTTACAGCTGATTGGCTGTTGCAAATCTGTTCAATTTCTTCCTAAAGTAATGATGTATTTCTAAAGTTTATTCATGATCGTTGGGATGACCGTTTCTGACGAGAAAAGTATTTATCTAAATCATATACGGATAGATACATACATTATTTCAAACAGGAGCACGTAGGAAGTTTATCAGAATGGTAATTGTTACACAATTATGTATCAGTAAAGCTACATTATGCAAAAACTAACATTTTAAAAGATCAGAATCACTGAAATATGAAGTTGTTCACAGTTATATTTCCCACCTCTACTGACGGCTGTTAGCTCGAGCGGCCAAGTCTGTCACACTCCTCCACCAATTTTCAGGGGCCGTGTAATATTTCAGTGTGATTCTGATCTTTTAAAATGTTAGTTTTTGCGTAATGTAGTTTTACTGATACGTAATTTGTCTTAGTATGCCTTATTGTGGGTAAAAATAAATATATATTAAATGCGTCCTCCGAAAGCGTGAATTTGTTACCAGAGTTTAACAGTTAATTCATGTACAGGTAGTCCCCAACTTATGACTGACCCAACTTACGTTAATCTGCACTTACGACCTGCTCTGACCGTACGACCGTCCGCACATACGACCACCGCAGTCGTGACCAAATTTTTTTCAAATGACGCGCGCATTTTCTATACCGAAACGTTTCCGTCCTGAGCGAGAGCGTGGCTGGCTTGGGTCACCGCGTGGGTACACTCACTCAGTACAGCACTTAGTTGGTGTTTGGCTATCGTATCCTATACCGATCGCGCTATGAACTTACGTTATTATCGTATTTAATTAACTTTATAATGACTGGAAAGCATACAAGTGAGAGTGCTGGTGGTGCTCCGAAGAAAAGGAGACAGGCAATTACTTTTGAGATGAAAATGAAGATAATAATGCAGTATGAGAAGGGTAAAACTGTAGCAACACTCTCACACGACCTAAGATTCTCGCACTCGACCATATCCACTATTCTGAAGGACAAGGAACGTATTCGTGATGTAGTGAAAGGAACAATGTCTATAAAGGGAACTATAATTTCGAAGAAAAGACAAGGTCCTATTCACGATATGGAAAAATTATTGGTGATATGGATAGAAGACCAAACACAGAAGCGTGTACCCTTAAGCCTTCTAACCTTACAGGCTAAAGCAAGAAGCCTGTTCCAAAGCCTGAAGAAGCAGGCAGGAGATGAATGTGAGCAAACCCTTACAGCAAGTCATGGGTGGTTTAATAGATTTAAAAAACGCTACAGTTTACACAATGTTAAGGTGAGTGGAGAGGCACCTAGTGCTGATGTTGGTGCTGCCGAAGCTTTTAAGGAGGAGTTAGATGATGTGATTGTAGACGGGAATTATTTGCCTGAGCAAATATTCAATGTGGATGAGACTGGATTATTGTGGAAGCGCATGCCTGAGCGGACATACATCCACAAAGAGGCGAAAACAATGCCAGGATTCAAGGTATTCAAGGACAGAATTACACTTCTGTTGGGGGTGAATGTTGCTGGTTTCAAGCTAAAACCCTTCATGATCTATCATTCAGAGAACCCCAGGGCTTTTAAACATGTTAGCAAGCACACACTGCCAGTGTTTTATCGCAGTAACAAGAAAGCCTGGATGACCATTGTACTGTTTGAGGATTGGTTCATGAATTGTTTCATTCCTCGAGCCAAGGAATATTGTCTGCAACAACGGATTCCATTCAAGATTTTGCTGATTTTGTATAATGCTCCGGGACACCCACCACACCTGGACGACATGCATCCTGATGTTAAGGTAGTGTACATTCCACCTAACACTACCTCTGTCATCCAACCCATGGATCAAGGTGCTATTACTGCCTTTAAAGAGTATTATTTACGTACTACCTTCGCTCAGGCTGTTGCTGCTACTGAAGGTGAGAAAACGCTTAAGAGTTTTGGAAGGAGTACAACGTTTTGTCATGTATAAAGAACATTAGTGCGGCATGGGATCAGGTTACAAAACATTGCATGAATGGAATATGGAAGAAAATCCTGAAAAGATATGTGAACAGTTTTAGAGGGTTTAATGAAAATAAGTTATTACGGATATTAGTAACAAGATAGTGGAGTTAGGTAAACAGCTTCAGTTAGAAATTGAGAGTAAAGATGTTGAACAGTTGGTTGAGAGTGTAGCAGAAGAGCTCAGTAACGAAGATCTCGTCGAACTGGAAGCACACAAAGATGCAGAGGAAGAAGCCAGTCTAAATGTAGAAGAAGGACCTGCACCCCCCAAAAAGTTTTCAGTGAAGAAAATGGCAGAGGCATTTGCTACAATTAATAAAGGAATGCAAATGTTTGATGGCATGGATCAAAATTATGAGCGTTATGCCAAAGTTGACAGAATGATCCAAGATGCACTTGCTTGCTACAGAGAAATTTATAATGAAAAGAAAAAGCAAACTGTGCAGTCTAAATTGGACATCTATTTTAAGAAGTCCCCTGGTGCTGTCTCCTCACGCCCCACTAGTGCTGCCTTTTCACTCCCTGAAGATGATCCAATACCTTCAACCAGCAAGTTTCCACAGCACATAAACCTGTCTGAAGAAAGCGACATTGATGACCCACCCAGCCCTGTCTCCTTCTCTGCTTCTTCCAGTTAATGTAGTCTCCATGTATAATTAGAAAATTATGGGGGCCCCATGTGCATTCAGCTGACTACATTAAAGGTAAGTGCTCAGTCACACTATCCATTCCTCATTATTTATTACTTTTACTGTACTGTATTTCATTGTAGATTTTTTTATTTTTTATTTTATTTTATTATTTTATTAATCTATGTCGGACTTATGACCTGGATTTGGGTCCCTAACCCTGTCGTAAGTCGGGGAGCACCTGTATAAGATTTCTGATAAACTTCCTACGTGCTACTGTTTGAAATAATGAATGTATGTATCTGTATATAATTTAGCTAAATATTTTTCTCGTCAGAAATGGTCATCCCAACAATTATGAATAAACTCATTTAGAAATACATCATTACTTTAGGACGAAATCGAACAGATTTGCAACAGCAAATCAGCTGTAACTCTTGAGGAGGGGGCAGGGCATCTCTTCTCAGCTGAGAAAAAATGCACTATAGCAGCATACAGTACAAGAGTCTCCATGTCAGTGATTTGGCTAAAAATTGGGATTTCCAGGATCAAGCTACAATTTTCATGCAGTGACAATGTTGAATGTATTTTGTATTTGGGTTCTAAAAGTTTTTGCATTCTTGGGAATTTCCTGTTAAGTGGATTAGATTACACTGAATCATCATGGTAGAGTTATTGATATAGTTGCACCACTTTTGCACAATAATGTAATTGCTGTGTAGAAATTTTTCATTTGCATTGTAAATCTTGAACTTTCAAGGTTGACAATCTAAGTACATGTTCCAGTATTATATGCATTGTATGTAATAGTTGCCAGCATATAGAAGTGTGATGTAATTGTAACAGAACTGTGATCAGATACCTTAGTGTGCTTCTTGACATTATTGTACCGTGAGCTTCAAGTTATTAATGCACATTTGGGCATGGTAGGAGCGGGTGCATTATTCATGTTAAACATTGTTAGAAACCATAGCTGAACTTAGTACTGTACAAGTTTTGTACAGTACATTCAACCGAAATATCTCATTAGATTTGGCACAAAATTCTATTACAGTGGTCCCTCGGTTAACGAACACAATTCGTTCCACAGAGTTGTTTGTTAACCGAATCCATTGTTTCAATGGGATATTTGGGTAATTGGTTCCAGCTCACAGAAAAGTACATACAAAGTAAAAAAAAAAATGCAGTAAAGTACACTTACTTTGAGGTGTGTATGTAGAAGGTTCCTGGTTGATGATGATGATGGGAATTAGAAGTGGGGGTGAAGGAGAAGGAAGTGGGGATGGAGGAGAAATCACCTTTCAGGGGACCCATGCTTGATGCCGTCATTTCACCAATAAAATTTTAAGTTCAATAGGTGTAATTCAAGATTATTTTATTTAAATCAACACTGCACTATATATTATCAATATATTAAAAAAATTTCAGAATGATCAATAATTTCAATGTACAAACACAAAAATATTCAAGACACCAACAAAATAGATGTTCACTCCACTGTCAACAAAACCAGACTGACACCTGGTGGCTGAGTCAAGCAGCTGATGGGCGCACAAAAAACTAGTTCCCTGTACTGCATATATTATCAATATGTTAACTAAATTTTAAAATGACTAATAATTTTAATATAAAAATGCAAAAATATTAAAGAGCACAACTTTCTTGATATTTACTCCACTGGAAACGAATATTAACATAGAAGAGATTACTGAATTGGCAGACTAGCCCATCAGCTGATACTCGCAACAAAACGTGTTGTTCGTAATGATTTCGTTAATTGAAGTTTTGTTTAACCGAATTGAGGATCCTTATGGTTGGTAATTTGTTAATCGAACCGTTCGTTAACTGAGGGACCACTGTACTTTGCGAGGTGAACTTTGGTTAATTGAGTGTGGTCGTGCAATGTACTGGGAGAATGTGTAAAACATTGAGTTTTACTTCAAATAAATATGGTGTTGGATGTAGAATTTTTGTCAACATGTCATGAGTTATTCAGTATCTTGATTAAATGATTATTGTAAGCAGTTGCATTGAAGTTCATTAGTATTCCGTAGTGAATTGTTTGAACTTATGTATGTAGCTAATACTAGTGTGTATTGCTTTTATAAGACCACTGATGTTTGCATTATGAAGACTGGTTTACATTGTTTCTTTCAGATGGGGGTGAAGACTTCAGGTGAACTTGTCACTGAAACAGTAAAAGAAGACCTTGAGAAGAAAGTCCCTGCAGAGCCAGTTAAGCAGCTGGTGACACAGGTAGTAGTTGTTCTTATTTTTTTTTTATTTAAGCACTGGTAAGTAATGATATTACAACCATAGTAGGATAGCTATTTTTTGTGTGAAGATTGAGGTTTAAAGATAAAACATATTTAAGCCAACATCTGTGATTTGTATGATTATTTCATTGGATCATTTAGTTTTGGTTGAGCATTTGTGGAAGGTGATGGGATTGTGTACCCATTTTGAACTTGCAAATTGAACAAAAAGTGACTATCAAATTTAGTTGTCAAGCTTTCAATATCACATGAGAAACTTCCCAGCTGAAAATTTGGGACTAAGAGGCTTTTGTAAAATGAATGTTTATGTAAAGTGGATGTTATCATGAACATTTGTCTGAGGAAAGCATGTATTTTACCAAAGTATGTGTGTCAATTTGGTTACATTATTAGTTTTTGTAAATACCTGTACTTTAACTTACTTCTTTATTCTCAAACTTTCTCATTGTTATAGAAGTCTACAAATTACCGTATATACTCGTGTGTAGTTCGAGTTTTTAAGACCAAATTTTTAGGCAAAAAATTGGGGGCCGATCTCTACGTAGGTAATAGTTTTGTTAGGTTAAACCCGTGCATGATGGGAAGGGCAAGGAGCAACTTTTAGCTTCAGACATAAAAAATATTTACAAATTTACTGCCAGTAAACAATGGAAACGTAAAATATGTACCAGTTAGTAATGAAAAGTTATGCAGTTCCTTCAGCAGATGAAGCTCACCAACTTACAATAGGCTAAATTACCTTACAACGTGCTTTCAGTAGTCTATGTTGAAGTTCTTAGCACAGGCTAACTTATCATATCATATACGGTATCACAGTACTCATTGATCTACAAAAAATACCGGTAATAAAAACCTTTTTGATATTTCACACTTTATATAATACCCGGTAATCCACTTCAACCTCCTATTGTTTACAACGATGCATGACGCACCACCAGCTGTTGCGTATCAGCTAGACGGTACACATGTTTTTCGAATCGTTTTCAGTTAAGAAACTGTTACATCACACGTATATTTTACCTTAACTGCGCCTGAATGAATATATTCTTGGAAATAAATAGTAGTTTTGCTGAAACGTGATATATTTAAATGTAAAATAGGATAAAATACATGACGAAACAAAGAATTTACCTAATCTCCTTATGTTCAAGAGATGTTACTCGTTTTTTTAAAAGTTTTCGGCTAAAATACTGTTATATTACAATGATATTCTATTCATACTGTGCTTGATGTAATTCATTCACGGAAATGTTATATTTTTGCTGAAATGACGTACGTATTACAGTGGAAGGTGGGACAAAATCATGACGAAAACAATGACTTTCGCTTTCTTTCGTTCAAAAGATGTTACTGTAATCGCTTTTCGAATGGTTTTCAGTTAAAAAACTGTTGTATTACAATAATAGTTCCTCCTAATTGACTTGAATAAATACTTGAATGGAAATATACAATATTTTTGTTGAAACTACCCGCGTTTCAGTGTAAAGTGTCGTAATAATAAATGGTAAACAATTTGCCTTCGGCACTCGGTGTTTCAGGCACGGCAAGCCTCGGCTTATAGGACGTAGAGTGTTTTTACTGAAGGTTTTGTTGTTCCATTACCCTCAAAAACTTGGGTCGACCTATAAACGATGAATATCATAAATTAACGATTCTTGGTAAAAAAATCAGGGTCAACCTATAAACGAGGGAGGGTTATAGACGAGTATATACGGTACCTTTCAATGTGTCATCATTCTCCTTACACCTCAAACTCTCATGAAGACAAGTAGACTTATCACTCATACTGCCATGCACCCAGTCACTCAACCAGTTGCTTAACTGTCTAGTTTCTCCTCATTTACTGAAATGTAATGTTTAGAAAATTATATAAAAGGAAATGATTCTGGATTCTTAAATTTTATACCCAGAATATTTAAATCTGATTAAATAGATTATTTCAGAGTAGGTTTTCAAATGACCTATTTTACCGTACTATACATGTTGAGCAAGAGTTTTTGGGTGATACAAAAAGTTTCTTCTGGTAATGGGGGACTTGATAAAAAAAAAAAGAAGCCATTGAGTACCCAAAGGACTGACTGCTAGTGAAAATTTCTATTGCAATGTGCTGCAATACTAACTGCAATGAACACTCAAAGAAATCACTGACCATGCATAGATCCTACACAAAAGCATTGTGTTTGATCTTAATAGTTGCATTTGCCAAGAAAACTGTTACTTGATTAAAATTTGAAGTGATGGCCCATCCCCTGGACACACATTGACCTTGGCTCCCTGTGATCCAAAGATAAGATGCTGCTTCATTGCTTCAGTTTTAAGTTTGGTACAGAAATTAGTAAGCTGTTGATGATAGTTCTCAATACATAATGCAAAGATATGTTTCCTAAAGTGTTTAAAGGATGGGTCAAACAGTGGGACCAATTATCAAAGAGGAAGGAGAGTTCTTTGTATGTTAAATAAATGTGTTTCCTCAACTTTTGTCTTCGTGTCATCAGTTTCACTACTTCTTAAATAACACTTACATAAGGCGTATTTTTGGTCGCCCCAAAACGCATAACTAGTTATGCTCCTAGGCTCTGCCTACTGTTGACCATCAACAACACGCCAACAGCGCTGTCGGTAAGGTTGCGCTGCCGGCCAGCCCAAATTATCGTACACTGATGTCAAAATTATAGTACAGTATTTTCCTCGAAATTATAATGGTACCTGCATATAAGCATACATGTTATGGTGCAGTAAACACCCCTGCATTATTACAAACAAGTTTATATTAACATAAGTCTAATAAAAAAATTACAAACAGGAATATTTGAGGCTGAAATAAAGGGAATACTTAAAAATTCTTTATTTGCCGCTGCTACTGCGTCCACTCGTCATCCAATCTGTGTCCATATATAAATAAGGATAACATAAGTTAAACTCAAACAGAGAGTGAGAGAGAATGGTACTGGCACATTCATCACTACAATTTGCTGCCTCCCTGGGTCCCTGCCCTTGTCACACCTCACCTTACGGGTGTGGAAATACAATCGAGTCCCTATCTGATCAAAATTATGGTACATGGTACAGACACCAAATTTTGGTACAAATACCATAATTATGGTACGCAGCGCAACTCTGGCTGCCGGACCCTTTCTCGGGAAAAAGTAATTGTATGTGTCTTGTGAGATATGTCTGGAGCCATAGCGTCCACGTTTCGGCTATGTCTGGTTTCGTGAATTTGTTTTCAAATGTGTCCATGTTAAAAAGATTATCATAGCTACATGGCAATATACAGTACTCAATATTGTGTACTTTTTCTCAAAAATGATAACATCTGTTATGAATAACAATGTCTTTTATGACATTATACCAAAGAAATGATAATTATAAGCTTCAAGTCGGAAACAAGAGAGAGACCATTCAGACACTCGTGGCGAAGCCAATAGAGTTTTCAGGTGTTGCTGGAAATTTCTCCATTCCCAGCTCAATGCATGTAGGTATTGATTGTCATTTCATTTAAAACTTCTCAAACTAAGCAATTTTAAACAATATATTTTTCAAGTGATATACATCTACTATCCAGTGTGTAATTAGTGATTTTATTGAAAGCATTTTCCACACATAGGCCTTATCTTGTCTAGAGTGTATGGATCGATGAATGTGATTGGATAGTTTCCCTTCATCTCTGCCCACTTTCCAAATAAGTTAAGACCATAACTACTTTTGCCTTTAAGGGCATATCATCTCGGGACAAGTTTTGCCTCCAAGGCAAAACTTGGGGATGCGCAGTAGATAGCAAAACTAGTTATGCGTTTTGGGGTGACCAAGAATACACCTACTGTATATATCAAGTAAATTTAACTGAATATAATAAAGTTTCTTGACATCTGGGATGATATGATACTGAGATGAT